TATTATGTTTATCATTTTATTTTTCTCCTCTTAAATTGTAACATTATTTTTATGACCATATTCATTTAGATATTTTTCTAGTATGAGTTACATTAACTGCACAATATCTGATCTTTATTCTGTGGAATGACTTCTTTCCTCTGGTCAATTCCTATAAGTTATAACATTGCTTAGTTAATGGAACACTCTGTTGGTTTCAGGCATTTAGCTTATCAGCCCAGTGATCAGTTTCTAATATTCTAACCATCAATTTTTAGTAGCACCAATATCCAAGTGTATCTGACCAGATTTAGAATTGGGTCTCTCCTGATAACCTTCAGCCTTTAATCTCCTCCCCAAATGTGAAGACTGGCATGTTCCTTGGAATCAGAGTGTTCACTAAAAAAAAAAATTAAAAAAATACTGTAATAAACCATAAGCATGGATTCTTATTTTCAAATAGCAAAGCGAGCTTATAAATCGGATGACCACATGTCCCAGTTTACCCAGAACAATCCTGGATTATACCTGTTACTCTGGCATAATTATAAATAGCTCTTCCTTTACTCTCAAAAGTGTCCTGTTTGGATATTAAATTATCTAGTCACATACTTATATACTACTAGAGGCCCGGTGCACAAAAATTTGTGCACTCGGGGGGCGGGGGGAGGGGGGTCCCCCAGCCCGGCCTGTGCCCTCTCGCAGTCTGGGACCCCTCGGGAGATAACGACCTGCTGGCTTAGGCCTGCTCCCGGGTGGCAGAGGGCAGGCCCAATCCCTAAGTGCAGCCCCTGGTCAGGCTCAGAGCAGGGCCGATTGGGGAGTTGGGGCGCCGCCCCGTCATGCACAGAGCAGGGCGGATCGGGAGGTTGCAATGCCACCCTCAGTCACGCTCAGGGTAGGGCCGATTGGGGGGTTGGGGCACCACCCCCTGTCACACTCAAGGCAGGGTCGATGGGGAGGTTGCGGCGCCACCCCCTGTCACGCACAGAGAAGGGCCAATCAGGGGGTTGGGGTACTGCCCCCTGTCACGCACAGAGCAGGGCCAATCAGGGGGTTGGGCGCTGCCCCCTGTCA